TATATATATATATATATATATATATATATTGGATTATTTAGAGGATAATTTGAGGATATATTATGATAAAGAAGATTACATCATCAAAAGAACCTGAAAGAAATTGCAATCCAATTTTTATATAAAGAGACTTAAAGAAACACAATAGGGGAGCTTAGGAACCTTTCACGTTCTAATTTCCTCGTCTCTCTCTTCTCTCATGTTCTTCATCCTCTCTTCTTCTATTGTTTTTTTGTTATTTTAACATTTTATGCTCTGTTAAACCTTTGGGTTGATTCTGTTATAAATTTTTAACTGGATTCTGAGGTTAGATGAGTATATTTATTGTTTTTTTAATTCTTGTTGTGATTTATTTTTATCAACCATGAGTATATTTTTACATTGTAACAAGTTAGCATGATATTAAATCTACATAACATATCAACCATGAGTACTAGAGTTTTTAATTTTAATTGAGAATTCACTTTGATTAAAGTTAAAAACAACTTTCATGTGATTAAATGAGTTTTTGCCAATAATTGATAATGTACTTTGATTAGAGGTCAAAACTTTAACCAAAATTAATTAAGAGTGTACTTTAATTAATTAGTTTTTTACTTGTTATAAGAGGTAAAAAAAATATATGATTATACATAGTAATATTTAATTGAGAATGTACTTTTATTAAATTTACTATTATTAATCTAAAAAGTTTTTGCTTTTAACTGAAAATGTACTTTGTTTATTAGTGAGAACATCAACAAATTAATTGATAATTTATATTTGATTAATTTAAAAATATAAGACAATAACTAATTGAATAATAATCTTTAAATAATAAATGAAGAATCCTAATTTGAGAAAGGAATGAAGTCAACCTATTTCTTTATCATTGTTTTTTCTTTTTAAATATTTCTATAAATTTATTTATTTCTATATTTTGTTAATTGGTTCTTTAATTTTTTATTTATCATTATCTTTTTTATTATTTTTATTTTATTATAGTTTTTATAAAAACTAATTTGTTAAGAATCAATTTTCTATTCGTTAAGAGAAAACTTAAGATTAAAATTATTTTTTAAAAATTTTTTTTGGCTACTTAATAATACCGAAGTTATTATAATTTAATAGTATTAATTTAATCAATTCAATGTAGTCTTATCAATCACCTTTATTAGTATGGGCAAGAGAAAAAGAGTTAAACTATCTCATTGTTAGGTTGTTTTCCTTAATTCCTAAATTTTAAGAAAGACTTTTATTTTTTTTTTATGTTGTTTCTTTGAAACTATATTTATATATCTCATATTACCATGGATATACCTTGAAACAACTATAATAATAATTTTCTAGATTGTAACTTTTTTATTTTGAATATTATTATGAAATACCTTATTTTACAAGTTTTATGCTATTAAAATTGAATGTTACTTTATTTTTTTACCTTTTTTATAATCGTAAAATTTCCTTACCTTTCTTATTATTCTTGCCGGAAAATTTGTTGCACCTCTTAATTTTCGTGCTTTCCACGGCCACCACGAAGAGCATAGGACCTCCATCCACGCCAGCTGTGGAACGCCAGAGACTAAAAGATGGCACGAATTGAATTCATAACAAACAAAAAAGTGTTATAGGGGATTGATATCGCTTTTCATTAGCGTACAAATTATACATCTTAATGGTGCCATCATATTGTTCATCTAGCAATTTCTTGGCACACCAAATAAATAACCTCAACATAACAAAAGTAACAAATAAAACTAATAAAGAAACATTACTGATGAACTGGATGCCAGTGTAAGCAAATAGAAACGAGGTTTTACTACTAAGTGGACTAGACAAAAGGCACAAAGCAGATTAAAGAAATACACAACATAATTGCCTGCATCATTTATCAACAATTCACCTCCAAATCCGAGTCAATCTATCCTTCAGCCTCACCAAGTTCAACATCTTTCAGAGGAATCTTTTCTAATCCATCCTTCAATAGTCTAATTTCTTCTTCCGTCATGCTGTTTTTCGCATGATGAGGTAATGTCTTTGGATTTGACTGCTTTTCAGCCTCTACAGCCCAACTGTAAATTACCATGCCAAGAACTGCGATAATCATTCCCATGATATTCTTGAAAGTTAGCTCCGAATCAAATAGCAGCCATCCCAACGTCAGAACACATACTGTTTTCATGTGGCCTAAAACCTGGAAGGAAACGGCTGAAAAGCGTCCGATGCAAAGGTACTGGCTCACATTGCAAAATACAGCTAGCGAGCATGAAAGAATAATGCACAACTGCAGAAGTTAAAGAAAAAAAATTTAAGAGAATAATCCAACAGTATTTGTATATTTGAAGATAAAATACATACATAATATGATAGATTGGTGTCAATAGGGGAAAAGGAACTTACAATGGCACCAGAAGAAATCTTATAGTTGGTTATCAATTTGCCACTAAGATAGTAATCAACAAATGGACCAAGAATAAGAAGAAAAAGCGCTTGAATGGGAGCAGTTTTACTTAGCAATTCAAACGATCCAATTGAATATTTCTTTTGAAGAGAACCAATTGACTGTTACAGAAAAGGTGAAAAAAAAAACAAAATTAGTTATAAAAATGAATAAATCCTACAAACATCACGCATAAATAATAGCATCTACCACAAATTGCGTTCTCTTCTGTTGTACTCATCATTTAACTATAATACTAATCTGATCTAATACTTGACCATTTACAGGTGAGAGACAGGCCATTAGAAGGGGAGAACAGTGCTTAGTCATGACACTTAATGACGAGCTCAAGAGCAAGAATAAACTGTCCCTAGAAGAATCACAAGAAATATGACTAGACAAGTTATTTTTGCTAACAAAAATATTCCCTCTCTCTCTCTCTTATGTGTTTCTTGGACTTTTTAAGTGTAGGATTTTATTTCTTAATTATAGAGGTATAAATACTAAAAGTAATATTTCTCAAAGCCCAAGAAAATAAAAGAAGGATGGCCAAGATTAAAATAAGAAGTGCAAGAAGGAAGCATAAAGATCGAAGCTTAACATAAGAAGCTTAACATAAGGGTAGCGTAAACATGACCACAGGAGTATGAGAATCATGAGTAACCAAGAGAAGTGTGACTCCTGATTCGGCCAACACGAAAGTTCCCGTTTCATTTTTTTTTAAATTTCAAATTTTCCCTCCTTTTGTTTTGAAATTTTCGTCTAGGCATGAGTGGGTTCTAGATCCCTCACTTCTATGTAATTGGAGACACATTTGAGTGTCATTAGGCATAGCAAATTCAGAACTCAAAGGCCATAAATAGCCATCACTCACACATGTAACTTCACTTTGGAATATATGATATTGTGAGTTTGTTAGTGTTGTGGAATAACTCAAATCAAATTCACTGCAGAAGCTTCGACCACACAAATAGCACACTGATATCAGATAATCCGCAAAACGAAATAGTAAAAGGTAAACGACAGAAGAACAAGAACGAGTCACACACAGAAGAAACGTGATTCAATTAAACTATTTCACAAACTTCAATCTACATCTACAACAAGATTCCCTGTAACCAGAGATTACAACTCAGTTCCTTTTAGTGAACTCTCATTCAGCTCAGTTATTAGTTGAATAACAACTCTCAATTAACAATAACTGTCTATACAGGTTCTTATTTATACAACCTAATTATTGTAACTAACTTTCGTAAAACATACCTAAACTAGCTGAGAAGAGAAGACAAGTGAACAATACTTCCTACTATTGGGCTTGAAACGTCACTTAGACAGTCTTTCCAGACATACTAGTCTTAGAAGAAGTTTTCATTTCTTAAGTCTCCTCCACCTTTGTCTTTTCATATCTTGTTTTTAATTGTCTCTTGTTCTTGTTCTTGTCTTTCTATCTTGTTTAATTCCACCATTAATGATATTCATTCCTGTCTTGTGTTTCTATCCTTTCCTCTCTTGGAAACAAACCTCCGCATTTAAATAATTCATTAGGATTAAATTCGTGTTCAGCAATAAGCTTCCTAGAGAATCTTGTCCTTGTTTTGTTCTTACTAAGAAATTAAACACAAATAAATTATTATTATCATTTCGAGTAAAATCATCTTAAGAAACATATCACTTAAATCTAATAAAGTTCTGTCCAGAACTCACCTAAAATTGCACGAGTTCATAATAACTAAAATGATAGGTGAAAAGGAAATAAAAAATAGCAGTCAATTTTGTATTGCCAGCATATTAGAGAAGAAACATTGAATAATACTTACAATTTGCTGCAAAGATGTTGACAGAACTGCTAAACAGGCACATATGAAACCTTTCAAGTTAACTTTCACATCAGTTACAGTGCAAACACCAACACCAATAACCACAACCACCACTGACATTTTCACTTCCCTTGAGTAGTGCTTATTGTGAAGTATCCATTCCATCACGCAAACCACAGGAATCATGCTCAGTTTTGATATCTGTGACCACACATAACACGAGAAAATTAACTAAAAAGCAGTAGTGAAAATTCAGCGAAAACGTGAGAATGACTAAGTGGCTATGATTCATGATACATCAAAGGCGAGTCATGACAATATGGGCAAATGAATCTGAAAACAACGCGACACAGCACCTTCTAATATACAAGAATTGAGATGTAATCATAGTAACCCACACTTGCTTCTCTAAAATGACAAGCTGAGTACAAGCTAAGGTGTCTGGCCAAACTGTTTCTACGTTTTTCTTCCCCTTATAAAGAGAAGTTGGACCAAATATACAGAGGAAACCTCTTAAAATTTTAAGGAGTTTATTTTTATAAAAAAAGGGTGGAGAATAGTGTTTTAATATAAAAATCTAAACAGATATCTTATAAAAATAAGTTGCATATCTTAGCCTCCCTTTCCCTCTCATCCTAAAATAATCTAACTAAAATGATCAACCTGACACCATGCTGTAACAAACAGGTATTGTACTACAGGCTGGAAGTCCACTAAGAAGGTCCTTCCAGATAAAGCGTCATTTATCCACTCCTACTCCGAGCATTATCTTTATTATTCTCGATGTTAACTTAGGCAATGGAGTGGGGCCTGATAGTTAATTGCCCATCTCTTCTTTGCAGATCCAAGGAATGCCTAAACACAACAGGCCTACATCCAAAAGAGCACTCTTAAAGACTTGAATATTATGTTCAGACCATCGTAACTTTTGTCTTGCAAAACTTTCATTACTACACATAACAGTAAGTATCTCGTTAGATACTAATACTTCTAGGGTTAACATTAGTACTCACAGCTGCAGTTAGTTAAATCATGAATATGTAAAACCAACGATCATCGGGTAAAGGTGGAATTCCTCATCATAGAATGAAAGGCTTCAAATAATTGGCCTGGTGCATGCTTGGCAAAAAGGTAATGACTATGAACGATCCAATTGAATATTTCTTTTGAAGAGAACCAATTGACTGTTACAGAAAAGGTGAAAAAAAAAACAAAATTAGTTATAAAAATGAATAAATCCTACAAACATCACGCATAAATAATAGCATCTACCACAAATTGCGTTCTCTTCTGTTGTACTCATCATTTAACTATAATACTAATCTGATCTAATACTTGACCATTTACAGGTGAGAGACAGGCCATTAGAAGGGGAGAACAGTGCTTAGTCATGACACTTAATGACGAGCTCAAGAGCAAGAATAAACTGTCCCTAGAAGAATCACAAGAAATATGACTAGACAAGTTATTTTTGCTAACAAAAATATTCCCTCTCTCTCTCTCTTATGTGTTTCTTGGACTTTATATATATATATATATATATATATATATTGGATTATTTAGAGGATAATTTGAGGATATATTATGATAAAGAAGATTACATCATCAAAAGAACCTGAAAGAAATTGCAATCCAATTTTTATATAAAGAGACTTAAAGAAACACAATAGGGGAGCTTAGGAACCTTTCACGTTCTAATTTCCTCGTCTCTCTCTTCTCTCATGTTCTTCATCCTCTCTTCTTCTATTGTTTTTTTGTTATTTTAACATTTTATGCTCTGTTAAACCTTTGGGTTGATTCTGTTATAAATTTTTAACTGGATTCTGAGGTTAGATGAGTATATTTATTGTTTTTTTAATTCTTGTTGTGATTTATTTTTATCAACCATGAGTATATTTTTACATTGTAACAAGTTAGCATGATATTAAATCTACATAACATATCAACCATGAGTACTAGAGTTTTTAATTTTAATTGAGAATTCACTTTGATTAAAGTTAAAAACAACTTTCATGTGATTAAATGAGTTTTTGCCAATAATTGATAATGTACTTTGATTAGAGGTCAAAACTTTAACCAAAATTAATTAAGAGTGTACTTTAATTAATTAGTTTTTTACTTGTTATAAGAGGTAAAAAAAATATATGATTATACATAGTAATATTTAATTGAGAATGTACTTTTATTAAATTTACTATTATTAATCTAAAAAGTTTTTGCTTTTAACTGAAAATGTACTTTGGTTATTAGTGAGAACATCAACAAATTAATTGATAATTTATATTTGATTAATTTAAAAATATAAGACAATAACTAATTGAATAATAATCTTTAAATAATAAATGAAGAATCCTAATTTGAGAAAGGAATGAAGTCAACCTATTTCTTTATCATTGTTTTTTCTTTTTAAATATTTCTATAAATTTATTTATTTCTATATTTTGTTAATTGGTTCTTTAATTTTTTATTTATCATTATCTTTTTTATTATTTTTATTTTATTATAGTTTTTATAAAAACTAATTTGTTAAGAATCAATTTTCTATTCGTTAAGAGAAAACTTAAGATTAAAATTATTTTTTAAAAATTTTTTTTGGCTACTTAATAATACCGAAGTTATTATAATTTAATAGTATTAATTTAATCAATTCAATGTAGTCTTATCAATCACCTTTATTAGTATGGGCAAGAGAAAAAGAGTTAAACTATCTCATTGTTAGGTTGTTTTCCTTAATTCCTAAATTTTAAGAAAGACTTTTATTTTTTTTTTATGTTGTTTCTTTGAAACTATATTTATATATCTCATATTACCATGGATATACCTTGAAACAACTATAATAATAATTTTCTAGATTGTAACTTTTTTATTTTGAATATTATTATGAAATACCTTATTTTACAAGTTTTATGCTATTAAAATTGAATGTTACTTTATTTTTTTACCTTTTTTATAATCGTAAAATTTCCTTACCTTTCTTATTATTCTTGCCGGAAAATTTGTTGCACCTCTTAATTTTCGTGCTTTCCACGGCCACCACGAAGAGCATAGGACCTCCATCCACGCCAGCTGTGGAACGCCAGAGACTAAAAGATGGCACGAATTGAATTCATAACAAACAAAAAAGTGTTATAGGGGATTGATATCGCTTTTCATTAGCGTACAAATTATACATCTTAATGGTGCCATCATATTGTTCATCTAGCAATTTCTTGGCACACCAAATAAATAACCTCAACATAACAAAAGTAACAAATAAAACTAATAAAGAAACATTACTGATGAACTGGATGCCAGTGTAAGCAAATAGAAACGAGGTTTTACTACTAAGTGGACTAGACAAAAGGCACAAAGCAGATTAAAGAAATACACAACATAATTGCCTGCATCATTTATCAACAATTCACCTCCAAATCCGAGTCAATCTATCCTTCAGCCTCACCAAGTTCAACATCTTTCAGAGGAATCTTTTCTAATCCATCCTTCAATAGTCTAATTTCTTCTTCCGTCATGCTGTTTTTCGCATGATGAGGTAATGTCTTTGGATTTGACTGCTTTTCAGCCTCTACAGCCCAACTGTAAATTACCATGCCAAGAACTGCGATAATCATTCCCATGATATTCTTGAAAGTTAGCTCCGAATCAAATAGCAGCCATCCCAACGTCAGAACACATACTGTTTTCATGTGGCCTAAAACCTGGAAGGAAACGGCTGAAAAGCGTCCGATGCAAAGGTACTGGCTCACATTGCAAAATACAGCTAGCGAGCATGAAAGAATAATGCACAACTGCAGAAGTTAAAGAAAAAAAATTTAAGAGAATAATCCAACAGTATTTGTATATTTGAAGATAAAATACATACATAATATGATAGATTGGTGTCAATAGGGGAAAAGGAACTTACAATGGCACCAGAAGAAATCTTATAGTTGGTTATCAATTTGCCACTAAGATAGTAATCAACAAATGGACCAAGAATAAGAAGAAAAAGCGCTTGAATGGGAGCAGTTTTACTTAGCAATTCAAACGATCCAATTGAATATTTCTTTTGAAGAGAACCAATTGACTGTTACAGAAAAGGTGAAAAAAAAAACAAAATTAGTTATAAAAATGAATAAATCCTACAAACATCACGCATAAATAATAGCATCTACCACAAATTGCGTTCTCTTCTGTTGTACTCATCATTTAACTATAATACTAATCTGATCTAATACTTGACCATTTACAGGTGAGAGACAGGCCATTAGAAGGGGAGAACAGTGCTTAGTCATGACACTTAATGACGAGCTCAAGAGCAAGAATAAACTGTCCCTAGAAGAATCACAAGAAATATGACTAGACAAGTTATTTTTGCTAACAAAAATATTCCCTCTCTCTCTCTCTTATGTGTTTCTTGGACTTTTTAAGTGTAGGATTTTATTTCTTAATTATAGAGGTATAAATACTAAAAGTAATATTTCTCAAAGCCCAAGAAAATAAAAGAAGGATGGCCAAGATTAAAATAAGAAGTGCAAGAAGGAAGCATAAAGATCGAAGCTTAACATAAGAAGCTTAACATAAGGGTAGCGTAAACATGACCACAGGAGTATGAGAATCATGAGTAACCAAGAGAAGTGTGACTCCTGATTCGGCCAACACGAAAGTTCCCGTTTCATTTTTTTTTAAATTTCAAATTTTCCCTCCTTTTGTTTTGAAATTTTCGTCTAGGCATGAGTGGGTTCTAGATCCCTCACTTCTATGTAATTGGAGACACATTTGAGTGTCATTAGGCATAGCAAATTCAGAACTCAAAGGCCATAAATAGCCATCACTCACACATGTAACTTCACTTTGGAATATATGATATTGTGAGTTTGTTAGTGTTGTGGAATAACTCAAATCAAATTCACTGCAGAAGCTTCGACCACACAAATAGCACACTGATATCAGATAATCCGCAAAACGAAATAGTAAAAGGTAAACGACAGAAGAACAAGAACGAGTCACACACAGAAGAAACGTGATTCAATTAAACTATTTCACAAACTTCAATCTACATCTACAACAAGATTCCCTGTAACCAGAGATTACAACTCAGTTCCTTTTAGTGAACTCTCATTCAGCTCAGTTATTAGTTGAATAACAACTCTCAATTAACAATAACTGTCTATACAGGTTCTTATTTATACAACTTAATTATTGTAACTAACTTTCGTAAAACATACCTAAACTAGCTGAGAAGAGAAGACAAGTGAACAATACTTCCTACTATTGGGCTTGAAACGTCACTTAGACAGTCTTTCCAGACATACTAGTCTTAGAAGAAGTTTTCATTTCTTAAGTCTCCTCCACCTTTGTCTTTTCATATCTTGTTTTTAATTGTCTCTTGTTCTTGTTCTTGTCTTTCTATCTTGTTTAATTCCACCATTAATGATATTCATTCCTGTCTTGTGTTTCTATCCTTTCCTCTCTTGGAAACAAACCTCCGCATTTAAATAATTCATTAGGATTAAATTCGTGTTCAGCAATAAGCTTCCTAGAGAATCTTGTCCTTGTTTTGTTCTTACTAAGAAATTAAACACAAATAAATTATTATTATCATTTCGAGTAAAATCATCTTAAGAAACATATCACTTAAATCTAATAAAGTTCTGTCCAGAACTCACCTAAAATTGCACGAGTTCATAATAACTAAAATGATAGGTGAAAAGGAAATAAAAAATAGCAGTCAATTTTGTATTGCCAGCATATTAGAGAAGAAACATTGAATAATACTTACAATTTGCTGCAAAGATGTTGACAGAACTGCTAAACAGGCACATATGAAACCTTTCAAGTTAACTTTCACATCAGTTACAGTGCAAACACCAACACCAATAACCACAACCACCACTGACATTTTCACTTCCCTTGAGTAGTGCTTATTGTGAAGTATCCATTCCATCACGCAAACCACAGGAATCATGCTCAGTTTTGATATCTGTGACCACACATAACACGAGAAAATTAACTAAAAAGCAGTAGTGAAAATTCAGCGAAAACGTGAGAATGACTAAGTGGCTATGATTCATGATACATCAAAGGCGAGTCATGACAATATGGGCAAATGAATCTGAAAACAACGCGACACAGCACCTTCTAATATACAAGAATTGAGATGTAATCATAGTAACCCACACTTGCTTCTCTAAAATGACAAGCTGAGTACAAGCTAAGGTGTCTGGCCAAACTGTTTCTACGTTTTTCTTCCCCTTATAAAGAGAAGTTGGACCAAATATACAGAGGAAACCTCTTAAAATTTTAAGGAGTTTATTTTTATAAAAAAAGGGTGGAGAATAGTGTTTTAATATAAAAATCTAAACAGATATCTTATAAAAATAAGTTGCATATCTTAGCCTCCCTTTCCCTCTCAT